AAAAAAAAAAAAAAAAAAAAAAAAAAAAAAAAAAAAAAAAAAAAAAAGTATAACATCATTAAGGTGGAATTTTTTTGGAAACTATTTAGCTGTTGGGTTGTCAAATGGGGTTGTTCAAATTTGGGATATGGAAAAAGAGGTGAAGGTGAGAAAGTACAGAAATCACAAGCGAAGAGTTGGAGCACTAGGATGGCACTACGACACGTTAACCACTGGGAGTATGGACAACAAGATTGTCTGCTCCGACATCAGATGCAAGGATAGTAGTTACGCACAGCTAACTAATCACACTTCGGAAGTCTGTGGTCTTCAATGGAATTATAAAACGAAGCAGTTGGCTTCCGGATGCAACGACAACTCTGTTTACATTTGGGAGTGGCGAAAATGTCTTCCTCTCTTCCAGCTTACAAAACATACCGCTGCAGTGAAGGCCATAAGTTGGTCTCCCCACAAACATAACTTACTAGCTACTGGCGGAGGCTCTGCTGATAAAAAAATTTGTTTCTGGAATACCTCCACAGGGGAGTGTCTTAATGAGTTACCCACGAATTCTCAAGTGTCTAATATTTTTTGGGCCAAGCACACTGAAGAATTTGTTTCAACACACAGCTATTCACTGGGCCAGGTTGTGCTGTGGAAATACCCTCGACTGAGAAAAGTGTCCACGCTGAGCGGCCACGCGTTGAGGGTGCTCTATGGGGCGCTCAGTCCGGACGGCCAGTCCATCGTCACGGGCTCGCCCGACGAGACGCTGCGCCTGTGGCGTGTCTTCCCAGGCGGGGGAGGCAACCGTCCGGATAGTTGTCTGCATACCTGTTTGGGAGGCTGCCTGGGAACGCACCGCTTAACAAATCACCCGCCGCACGAGTTCCCCTTTTCAAACTGTTATGAACAAGTCAGGTAAAACGCTTCTCTTCACTTTGACAAAAAAAAAAAAAAAAAAAAAAAAAAAAAATGATGACGATGCTGCCCTTCCCCGGTGATGTCTCCCCACCGCGTGTTTTACTTCAACTTTCTTTACTTCAACTGTCAGGGGAGCCTCCTCGTAGTCTCTCCCCCTTGGCGATAATCAAATCGTTCGTCCTGTTTTAGTCTGTACGGATGATAGGTCTCCTCCCTATACACCTCCCTCCACGAGTTGGCTGCCCCACCTGTGCCCATGCTTAACCGCCTACACTGCGAACTTGTGGCGGCACGTGGGGGAATCCTCTTTTCAGCCCCCCTTTCCTGATTGCAACTTTGAAGTGGTATATAGTAGGCACCCCCGACCTGGCCATCCCTTTCGCAGAGCCTCCTCCTAAAGTCACTTACATTTTCACGCATATGATACTTGGAGTACACGTTTTCAAAGTACCTTTCGAATTCCTCGTCCTGTTCAATCTGTGGTGATGCAGTGGAGAGTGAGTCCCCTTCATCACCTACTGAGTAGAACTTGTTGCTATCTGAACAGTTGAACTCATCCGACGGGGTATCAAAACTACTGCGGCTGTTTTCTTCCACAGATGCACTCTCACAGGATGGTACACACACCCTCTTGGATGTCTTCCTGAAGTTCCTTCTCCTTTTTTCATTCCTTTCATACGAGTTGGAAAGAGAGCAATCTGGTTTGTTTGCTTGTTTTTTTATTTTTTTATTTTTTTTTTTTTCAATTTTTTCATCCATTCTGTTAGGGAAGGAAGAAGCTACGTCACGACTCCTCCCTCCTTTAGACCCGACCACACTTCTTTGGTTCAGCTGTTCCATTTTTTCCACCATTTGGAGAGTCCTTTCGAGCTGTTTTATTTTTATCTCCATTTTGAAGTAGCTGTCCACCTCTTTTTTTTTATTTCCTCTTATGAACACATCATAGTTTAGATCCTCAGTGGGGGGTGCGATCGTCCGAGCAACCTCCTTCATGTGTTTTTCTTTTTCTTTTTCTTTTTCCTTTTCCTTTTCCTTTTCTTTCTCCTTTTCTTCACTTAGATCGGGATAGGATCCTTGGTCCGCTGGTTCCCTCTTTCTGCACTTTTTTTTTATATGACGTGAATTATTCTCCTCACTGGGATCACGCCTTTTGTTTGACCAGTTCACACCTTCCTGCTTCTCCAACTTTATGTTACACGTTTGCCTACTACCTTCTTCTTCTTCTTCTTCTTCTTCTTCTTCCTTGGTTGGCATATCCCCTGGTGCGTTTTCACCGGTGCTCACTTCGCATCGCTCACTTGTTTGTTCCCTCTGCGGGCGGTTCAGTAATTCCCCTTCCACTGTGCTATCCTGGGCGTGCACCCCTTTCACCTCGTGTGAAGAAGACACTCCAAAGTAATTTCCAACCACGTCGTCTGAACTAAAATTATAATCATTAAAATTGCATGACATGTTGAAGTAGGACGTAAAATGGATTCGCCCCGTTATAATGTCATTGTAATGCATCTCCTCATTGTTGCACAAATTTGCCTGATCATGTGCAGGTGAAAAGTACAAAGTTTGTTGGTCTATTTCATCCACATCGGAATCGTATTCATCACTTGAGTTATTCTCATCGGAGAGGTATAAAACGCACGATTGGGGTGGTCCTTTTTCTTCCTCTTCCTCTTCCTCTTCCTCCTCCTCCTCCTCCTCCTCCTCCTCCTCTTGCTCTTGCATTTGTAAGTGAAGAGTTCCGTATGGGTATGGATTCTTTGTGTAGACACTGTGATTGTACATTCGGCTTTTTTTTCCTTCCTTGGCAAGTGCTTCTTCCCCCCAGTGGGTCTCTTGCATGAACTCTGCACCTCCCCCCTTGTTCCTACCGCGCCGCTGGGAAAAAATTCTCCTTTTATTCTTTTGTAGAATGCGTGAAATAAGACCCCCAAAGCAGATGACCACATTCTCTTTAAAATTTGGGGTGGCAAATAAACATAACAAATTCAAGTCGGAGCAAAATTTAAAAATGAGTTTTAATTCACTGAGAGGAAGTGCCAAGCTGTGATCCTCAAACTTTTTGTTTTTGAAGAAGTATTTGGTTTTACTGGACGGGATGGATATTTTTTTATTGTTATAAAAGAAGTGCTCTCTTTTTATTTTTTCTTTGTTTAGACTAAAGTCGGAGGTTTCTATAGCACTCAAGACAATGGCGTCATCTGTGTTGTTCAGAAAAACATTTCTTTCATTGGCTAGGTCCTTCAGGTTGATCAAAAAGAGAGTTGGTTCTACTTGTATAATGGATTCATTTTTATACACATAACTTTTTATTGGGTTGCAAAAGGGCCTCAATTTGAGCACCGCGCTACAGTGCGTATTGCGCTTTTTAAACTTCAGGGCTACCTCCAGGGTGCCGTTCTTCTTGTTGAATTTGAGAATCAGTTTGGACAGCTCCGTGGCGACGCAAGAGCGGTTGGCGCTGCTACCCCCATCATCGCCGCTCTCACCATCATCGCTGCTGCCGCCATCATCGCTGGCATGTTTCCTCCCACAGTGGACAGTTCCCCCTGCAGATGCCGTCGCCAACCTTCCCTGCTGACCCCTTTCGTAGTGCCCCCCGTGGGAACTCCCATGACTCCTCAACAGTTTCGTTATTTGGTAGCTAAACAGACAGTGGTACAAGTCTTTCGAGCTGAGGGAGCCACTGGCGCTCTTCTCATCACAGTCCACATTGCCCAGGGAGAAAAACTTTTTGTCCACGTGAATTATCAACTCGTTTGTTAAGTTGTTGGACCCGATAAGCTCTAGCTTGCTGCGCGTGAGTCGGAGGTGCAGATGTTCGCTCACCGATGTGAAGAGCTTCAGTATCCGTTCGAATACTTCGATGTAGGGCCTCTTGATTACCACTTCCATGGGAAGAGGAGAGGTTCCAGGTTGTGCAACGGGGGGTAGGAGGAAAAAAAGTGATGAAGCGGGTTTGGAAGTGTTCACCCTGACAGGACACTGATGGCACCTGTTTGACCGATCTGACTTCTTCTCATCGAAGTCGCCACGTTCTTCTCTCCACCGTGTTGAATCTACACTTGGAAAAATTCAAAACCGCGGGAAAAAAACAGCTTTACGCTGGTGCAACGTTCTTTTACACAACATGCAACACACGCATGTATGAATAACACACCTTTGCACAGTAGCGCGTACCGCTTGTCAAAACGGTGAAACTGTTGCCTCATTCAAATAGAAGCAATTGAAATGCAGTGTTGGTTTTTCCCGCAAGTGGATTTTCCTAGCCGAGTTGACTTATTTTCCGCCCCTCGGAGCGCACGGGAAGAGCAATAACAGTATGTAGCCATTTTGAAATTGTGCACTCATAGGGTGATTAATTTTTTTTTTTTTTTTTTTTTTCCAAAAAAGTTATGAACAGGTCAGGCAAAATATCAAAAAAGGAGAACAAGAAGAAGAAGAAAAAAAAAAAGCTAGCCAAAATGAAACATGTTGTGGGTAAAACGACAATATGGTGAGACTACCCCCACGGCTGAAACACAGTTGGCGCAACGGTTTTATACATTCTACAGGGGGGACACCCTGGAAGCAGCGGCTCTACAGTAGCAGTAGTAGTATTAGCAGCGGCGGTGTGGCACATTGCGAGGACGAGGGCGAGGGGGAGTTGCACAAATATGTATGCGTCGTGCCGTACAAGAACGACAACGTCCTGTCGCTGGAGAAAACGTATGACGCGAAATATCCCCACGTGGTTAGCGAAAACAGCATTGAAGTGGAGTCCAATTTGAAATATATTTACAAGCTGCTACTAACCAGTCGAACAGTGGAACAAATCCGGTTGCTCTTACACAACTCGTACTGTGCATACGAGAATAATTTCATAAACGATGTGAGGAACATTAACTGGTCTGCGTACATCCCTTTCAGCAGTGTCTTCACGGAGCCACAAATAAATGTGAAGACCATAAAGTCAAGGCTGTTTCACACCTGCATGATCAAAAACATTATCCTGAACGTGATTAAAAAGCAGCAACAAGTGTATATAGAAAAAAATGGAGATGACAATATTCTTTTGAAGAAAAAAAAACTGGCTCCGTCCTCTCTGCAGCCGCTAAAAATACATGTCCTGTTCCGTTATAACGAATTAAAAATTAGTGTAAACATAAGTAATGACTTAAACAAACGTTTATACATTGCACACAAAAGTGAGACCTCCTTAAAAAGGTGCAACGTTCTTTTACACAACATGCAACACACGCATGTATGAATAACACACCTTTGCACAGTAGCGCGTACCGCTTGTCAAAACGGTGAAACTGTTGCCTCATTCAAATAGAAGCAATTGAAATGCAGTGGTGGGTTTTTCCCGCAAGTGGATTTTCCTAGCCGAGTTGACTTATTTTCCGCCCCTCGGAGCGCACGGGAAGAGCAATAACAGTATGTAGCCATTTTGAAATTGTGCACTCATAGGGTGATTAATTTTTTTTTTTTTTTTTTTTTCCAAAAAAGTTATGAACAGGTCAGGCAAAATATCAAAAAAGGAGAACAAGAAGAAGAAGAAAAAAAAAAAGCTAGCCAAAATGAAACATGTTGTGGGTAAAACGACAATATGGTGAGACTACCCCCACGGCTGAAACACAGTTGGCGCAACGGTTTTATACATTCTACAGGGGGGACACCCTGGAAGCAGCGGCTCTACAGTAGCAGTAGTAGTATTAGCAGCGGCGGTGTGGCACATTGCGAGGACGAGGGCGAGGGGGAGTTGCACAAATATGTATGCGTCGTGCCGTACAAGAACGACAACGTCCTGTCGCTGGAGAAAACGTATGACGCGAAATATCCCCACGTGGTTAGCGAAAACAGCATTGAAGTGGAGTCCAATTTGAAATATATTTACAAGCTGCTACTAACCAGTCGAACAGTGGAACAAATCCGGTTGCTCTTACACAACTCGTACTGTGCATACGAGAATAATTTCATAAACGATGTGAGGAACATTAACTGGTCTGCGTACATCCCTTTCAGCAGTGTCTTCACGGAGCCACAAATAAATGTGAAGACCATAAAGTCAAGGCTGTTTCACACCTGCATGATCAAAAACATTATCCTGAACGTGATTAAAAAGCAGCAACAAGTGTATATAGAAAAAAATGGAGATGACAATATTCTTTTGAAGAAAAAAAAACTGGCTCCGTCCTCTCTGCAGCCGCTAAAAATACATGTCCTGTTCCGTTATAACGAATTAAAAATTAGTGTAAACATAAGTAATGACTTAAACAAACGTTTATACATTGCACACAAAAGTGAGACCTCCTTAAAAAGCACAATCATAGCTTCCGCATTGTTCAAAATTAACATATTTAATTACACCAATGGGGGAAGAGACTTATATTTTGTGGATCCCTTCTGTAATGATGGAAGCATTCTGTTGGAAGCATTTTCCATTTTAATGACTGCCCCTTGTGGCTCCCCCAGTATTAACTACCCCATTGTGTCATTCCCTATGCATTCCCCTTCTACGTTTTTCGAAGTTTTAAATGAAGTAAATATGACTCCAGGGAAATTCACCGACCGAGTGTTCCTCCTTGGGCTTGACGATAGTAAGGATCACATAAGACTAGCTAATGCAAATTTGAAGAGACTCTTTCTAACCACACCACGTTGTGTTAATGAGGATGATGAGGATGATGTGCAGGTGGGGGGAAGCATTTCTTTGTCCAGAGAAGGGGTGGACAAATCGGTTCGAAGTGGGAAGGGGGTAGTAGGGAAAAGTGGTGGTGGAGGAGGACAGTCTCCTACAATAAGCGATTCTGCTGCCTCCCATTTCAGCGCGCTGTGCACACATGAACTGAACACGTTGTTCTCCAGCGATAATCCCGTCATGTCGAGGAGGATAAAATTTATGTGCATGGACTTCCTGAAGCTAAGCAGTGTCAACGAAAACTGTGTTATAATTACAAGTATAATAAACGTGGACGAAAAAAAAAAAAAAAAATTGGAGAAAATTCTTCTGCGCTCGCAGATTTTAAATGCCTTCGTGTTTGCCCCGGAGAGTTATAAAGAAAGGACAAGGCTCAAGTTTAAGTTAATTTCTCGATTTGTGTCAGATGGGCAGAACATCATTTTTGTTCAGCTCTTTGGGCAGACTCGCCGCGGGGTGCACGACGAGATGTGGGACGGTTGAGGCGTCATGCAGGGGTGGTCCCCGTGTGCAGATGCGTCCCACACTGTGCAAACATTTAAAGAGCGCGAAGAAAAAGGGGGGGAACAAAAAAGGGAGTTAAATGGAGATTATTATTATCATTATCATTGTGATTATCCATTAGGATCGAGATAAGGACCAGGTTTAGTCTGATGGAGAACCCCGAGACCACCTAATGGATGACCCTCAAAATTTCGTAGACGATGTTTTTCAAATTTTCGTCGCAGAATGTCTGGCTGGTGCAGTGGGCTTTGATGTCCAGCAGTTTTTTTTTGTAAAAATTGAACATGCCGTTGAGCTCCATTTTTCTTTGATCCTCTGCGGTAGGGGGGTGGACAGGGAACACACACAGAGGGGAGTTAGGCGAGGGTGGGGAGAAGAACTAGCGAGCCATTCGCAAGGCATCCCCATGTAAGAAGTTATCTTTTTTTTTTTTTTTTTTTTTTTCCCGTTTTACACACCAAGGAGTAATTTGAGATCCAGGTACTCCGTGCGGAGGATGGCAAGTTCCTTTCGCATTTCCTGCGGTGTGTTGCGAGGAAGGGATGGTGAAGCCATTTGTCCGTTTTGTATGTGTCGGAGGTGGTGAGGGCATGCAAACAGGCTGGACACCACGCGGAAAGTATTACCTCCGATTGCTTCAGAGACTCGTTGAAATTCGTCTTGTATTCATTTTTAAAGTTTTGGCAGTACATGTAATAGTCGTTTAGCTGTTGGGGGGGGGGGGGCCGCGCCGAGGAGTAGGTGAACACATGGACAGATTAGCAACTATACACGGTGCTCTCTTGTGTTAGGTGCACGGATTAAGGATTGGACGAGCCAGCCCCCCAAAGGAGGCACAAACCACAGGTAGTACCTCCTTCTCTTTGCTCTCAGCCTCGTCTCTTATGTACTGCAGCGTGTGGGCCTCCTCGTCCCTGTACATTTGCTCTTGTCGTTTGAAGGAGGCCTCGGCATTGCTGAAATGGAGGAGCGGTAGAACAGTGCGAAAATTAAGAAAAAAAAAAAAAAAAAAAAAAAAAAAATCACCTGAACAGGTCAGAACCTTTTTTTTTTTTTGTTTACAATGCACACATAGCCTTTTTGCGCGCACATGTGCTGGTCTTTTCTTTCCATTTGTTCCTCACCCAACCTCTTTATTTCCTCCTTAGTTAAGCTGCCCTTTGTAGGTCTTTTCTTCGTTTTCTTCTTCCTCACCACGGTGCCCCTCTTCTTGCTCTTCATGAGGCCCAAAATCATCTCATTCATGTCACTCTCTTTAAGTGTGTGAGCGTTCATGATTGAGCAGGGGAAATTTAAAAGGGGCAAGCAAAAGAGGATATCAAAATGTGGTGTGCAAAATAAAACACACACAGTGGTACAAGTAATTACAGGACCAGACCACCTTGTAGGGGATTTTTAATTCGGGAAACAATTCAGTAATATATTGACAGACAAGGGAGGGACAAAAAAAAAAAAAAAATAATAAAAATAACTGAGGTTGAAATGCATCCTTTTTATTTCTTTCTTTAAGTGGAAACTTGACAATTGTTATTAAAAACGCGGGGCGTCTTTTAACCTCCATCCCATATGCGTTGTTTAAGTATGCCCACTGTACGTACACGTAAAGAGTGGGAAACGGTGGTTCGGAACCTCCACAAGAAAAGTGGACGCCGATGCTCTTTTTCGAGTGACCATTTGAGAAGGCGTCATTTTGGAGTGACAATTTTTCTTTTCTTTTTTTACATACTTCCAACCACTCCTTCATAGCGGTAATACATTTCTCGTGGGAGGGGGGGAAGCTTACCCACACAGCAAGCGCCCCAACGCAGTAGCAGCACGGAGGTGGACACATCCTCACAAGTAACGATGAGGTGAAATAATGAAGAGGAAACCTTTCCTTACCAACCACACGGTGACGCTCAAAAAAGGAGGTGACTGAATGGATGGTCATTTGGGCGGAGTGGCCCAACTGGACTTTTTTTTTTTTTTTGGTGTGCTCCCTACAGTATGCTTGGCTTTTGCTTTCTCCGGCGGTGAGCGATTATTTCCCTCTTTGCAGTCACTGACTCTTCCCCACACTACGCTGTGCGAAAGATGTATTTACAAAAAAAAAAAAAATAATAAATAAATGGCTAATTGAGTGAGGGTGCGGAATCCACGGTCAGCTGAATTTTCCGTCGCAGGGGAAAAAAAAAAAAAAAAAAAAGAGGTTGGAATTGAAGAGGAATGAGTGCTCCCCCATATATGGGGGCGTGGGGAAGGAGCGATAAAAAAAAGGAAGAAAGGGTAAAAAGGCTTTTGGCACGCCTAGCGGATAAGCGCTATATAATATGGTATATTTTATGTAGGGGCAACGGTGGGGTATTTGTGGCACTGCACGGAGAAAGCAGCGCAAAGGGTTGAACGCTAACCTTTGAACAATGGGAGGCAGTGCGGGAGAGCCATGAAAGCACTACCCCGCAAAGCATTCTCCTCCAACCCGTGGAGCCATCATCGACCCTTCCCGGAGTCAGTAGGGCACAGGGATTATAATTAACCATTCGTTTATTGCATACACTGCGCACGCAGTTTTGTGAAAATTCGAGCCAGATGGCACTAGAGTTTTTTTTTTTTTTTTTTTCACTTTATCGTTATAGCATTGTAGCTGTGATAGCGTAGCTCTCTTTTTTCCTATTCTTCACATGACTTCGCTTTGCTTCATTTTTTTTTTTTTTTTTTTTTTTGTTTTTGTTTTCCTTTCAAGCCCTGGCCACGAAATAGCCGTAAACGTGTACTCAACATTTGTTAGGGAGAAAAGGGAGCAACCCCATGTTCCTTGCCTTCTCCTGTGCCTGCCCCTTTTTTTCCTTTTATAACTTTACTAATCATTTTTTGACGCACCTACTAAGGGGCGTCCAGTGAGTGCACCTACCCATACCGCGATAGGTATGCCTTTTTGTGGAGAGTTCTCCGCTGAATTGTTTACTCCAGTCAGGCATATGTGTTGCTGTCCCTAACTCTTGGCAGAGCGTCCCTAGTTATTTGTGCCACAGTTGAAGCGCTTCACGTTGCATAATTTAAGTGAACCGCTTGGGTATAGCCTCCTGCATGCATACGGCGGTAAAGGAGGATACGCGAAACGTTGCTCTCTCTCCCTCTCCTACGTCGGAAGTGAATGTCGAGGGATGCACGTCCTGTTAGCGCAAAGGCAACGGAGGTGAAACTGTGTAGGAGGTGGGCGTAGTTCCAAGCGGCGTGGAAGGTATATACACTATTCCCTTCCGCAGAGTAGTTAAGGGCAACACGCTGAGCGTCTAACACGCTTTTACATATAAAGAGACCAGGATAGTTCTGCCAAGCACGTACACACAGCTGCTCAGGTATATTTGTACACCCCCCTCTGCATACCCGTGTGAGTCACTTGAAGAGTCGCGAAGATGAATGCGAGGAACAACATATTTCAGATCCTCCGACAGGAGGATAAGATAAAGAGGAAGTCCAAGCAGCTGAAGGAGAGCCAGCAGAAGAAGGAGAATGAAAAGAAGGAAAGTGAGAAGAAGGACGCCAGCAGCTTTTCCTTTGATGTGAGTGCGATGAGTGTGTGTTTTTGTTACCTATTTGTGTGTGCATTTTTTCGTGCATTTTTTTGTACATATTTTTTCGTGCATATTTTTTCCTGACAACACTTTTGACCCCTTTTGTTCCTCCCCAGATCAGCAAGTACTCCTCCTGGGCCGACATGGTGGACGAGTACGACGAGTTCTTCTACGAGGTGGAGAAGCTGAATGACCAGGAGAAGAACGAAACAAATAATAACAAGGAAAAGAAAAAAAAAAAAACAAAAAAAAAAAAAAAAAAAGAGGACGAATACAGTGATGATAGTAGTGAGGAAGACAAGGAGGACACCGATCAACCCGTACCAACACACATAACGGAAAAGGAAATAAAAAATAACAAAACGTCGAGCACCCCTAATGCAAAGAAAAAGCAAAATGGAAATGCTGCTAATGGGATTAATAACGTAACTAAACAAAAACAAATGGAGAAAAAAAAAAA